TATATATAATCATTTTTACCTGGGCAATTTTAAAATTTGACCAGATCTGGTCAGATCTGATTATATCTGGCCAGATCTCGTCAGATAGAGACAATTTAAAGATCTGGCCAGATCTGCTAAGGCAGATCTGACCAGATCTGTTTATATATGGCCAGATCTAATCCGTTTTTCCCGGGTGTATACATTCCTCTACTATAATAGGACTAAAGTATGCAAAGTATGAAAGTGGAATATTTATTTATTTTCCTTATAAGAGACCCAATAGCCATATGGCCAATAACAGGGCAGAAATTTTTAGCATGCCTATTCACACCTGCTAAAGTTACAATTAGGCGCATTAATAATAATTAATAATGTAAAAATATATACATATACTTAAAAAACTCAACTTACAATAGATAGTAAGGCATTTACAAAAAAAAATGTTACAGAGTATATGAGATTATTTTATTGTAGTGCAAGATGTTATCTCAAAGAGATTATAAACGATGCTAGGGTGCTAGGCGGAATGGAAGGAGGGCTATACCTATTAAATCAATTGAATTATAAAGTTCAATAATCCTATTACAGGCATTTTAAAGTCGAGTAATAGGTGCAGATCGCACTAAGTTATTTGTAGCTGGCGGCGTATAAAAAGATAAAGCAGAACGAGTGTTTCTTGCGGGTACAGATATGGGAATAAGTGCGAGAAGTTTAGGACAGTCAATAGCTCCATGGAGAAGAATCAGGATCAGGATCAGGAGTATTGAAGTACATAGTCTTCTTTCTTCAAGAGTAAGGAGGTTCGCATCAACGCATATGGCAAGATAATTGCTACCAAGATGAAGATGTGCCATATTTTTTGAATGTGAAAAACTTGAGAAATTTTCGCTGAACCTTCTCAATATTACGGATGTGTACTTTGTACTTTGGAGATCACACTACCGTTGCATATTGTAATTTAGGTCTAACTAATCTCATATAGAGTCTCATATAGAGAGTCTTGATAACATCCAAGTTTCCGAAGTTTTTACAAGTACGGATGATGAAACCTAGAGTTATTACAGATGAGCGTATGGTGTTATTGTAATGATTTACAAAGGTTAATTGACCATCAAAAGTTACACCCAAGTCTTTGCAGCTTATCACCCTAGCAATGATGATACCATTAATGTTGTAATCATGGAGAATTGGATTTCTTGACCTATAGATGAGATGACTTTGCATTTGAGGGCATTAAGGTGAAGTTTATTCTCTTTGCACCATACTACAAGAGTATCTGTATTAGTCTGTAGATGGAGACAGTCTGCAGTAGATATAATGGTGAGATAAAACTTACTATTATCAGCGTAGAGATCGAGGAAGATTGATAATATGAAGCCTACAACATTAATGAAAACTATAAATAGTAAAGGACCAAGGTTTGGGCCCTGAGGGACTCCAGATGTCGCAATATAAACTAGTGAATAGAAACCTTTGAAGAGCACTTGGTTTTTCCTATTAGTAAAATAGCTGATTAGGAGACATATTAGTAACCCACAAACTCTTAAAGCAATTAGTCTGTCCACAAAAAGACAGATGTCAACCTTATCAAATGCTTTCGAGAAGTCTGTGTGGATTATGTCTACCTGATCACCCTTAGAAATTCTGTCTGTTACGTACTGGGTGAATGGTAGAGGATTCGTCACGGTAGATCTGCCCTTCAAAAAGCCATGTTGTGAAGGTGAAATAGTAGGACTAAAATAAGACAGCAGTATATCATAGATGAGCATTTCTATTAGGACTTTCGCAAAAGCTGGTATTAGCTGGTAGAGTCCGACATCCTTTAATATTTCAGAATGCAGGACGAAAGAACAGTAGACCAGGTTATGTTGATAATAGATTATTAAAAGTAGTAAACAGTAATAGCAAAGTCTACTTTACCGTACTACATGTAAATTGTAATTCACATTACTTATGGCTGTTGACAACGTTATAGTACCGGTATGCTATATGAGAGGAGATAAACTGATTCCACCGCTAGTAAGATATGTTAGCTAGTTAATAGACCGTATTTAAGTAGATCACACTGTTTTTGATATTTATACTTATACTAGGATAAGATTTGACCAATTATAAAGAATTTAAAGAAAGTGATTTGTATAGTGATGTAAGTAATAGTGCACCGGACAAAGTGTGATGCACAGAAATAGTCTGAAATTTACGAGATTTTTTTATTAATCGAAAAAATAATTTGTACATATGGTATAAAACACACTTAGATTAATTGAAACGTGATTTGCGTAAATTTGTAGATACTTATATCTCATAAGTTAAATAAATCAGACGAAAGCTTCACAATGCGTGTTACTTGCACTATGATGCGCGCGCAGTATATGGGGATTTGTTGAAATTTTTTAAATAATTGCCATCCGATCTTAACAAAGATTATTTTTTGCATGCCTCAAGCACGAAAGCGACCCCTACGAAAAAAATACATATGAAAACATGTATGCAAACATATATGCAAAAATAAAAGCAAATATTTCAAAACTTTATACTCTATATATATATACTTTATATGAATTTTCGCCGAAAACGTGTAAGAACGATTTTTTATATGTTTGCCTATATGTTTTAAAACATGTTGGATGTATCCGTTAATGTATGAGAGAAACTTTGAAATTTTCCGAAAGTCGGTAAGAGGTAACTAGCTTATTTAAGCCGTTAACTTGCCAATTTTTGTGTGCTTTCAATAGCACTACTCTACATTTGTTTCATATATGAACGGATATATGAAAATATATTGGCGAACATTTAAGAAAATATAAAAAAAATTGTTCATATACGTTTTTGGCGAAAATTCATATAAATTAGATATATGTGAGATATAAACTTTTTATATATTTGTTCATATGTTTTCTTACATGTTTTCTCCCCGGGGAGAAGAATGCTCTATTATCGTATAAAAATCAAGATCCTAATAATTTTACACATTCTGTCGTATCTGAAAGACATAATACACATATAACGAATGCAAAAGCCCTGTCAGAAAGAAAAATGATCGCTGAAATGATCAATTTTTCTTTCATATCACTTATTCGCAATTTTTACATAACTAAGTGATTTTAATAGCTTATGCACTGAGACGAAAAATTTCTTTTGAAAATAATGGTCATTGTTGTGACAAGAAATTAATTTGTTGAAAATTTTCAAAAACTTTATTTCTTATTACAACATTGCTGATATTTTTTTAAATAAGTTTCTTATTCTCTCAGTATGATATAGATGTTTCAAATCTTTATGGAACGACAAACACAATAACTTCTGAAAAGATCAATAATTCATCTCAATTTATTTTTCTAATCTCACCATCTACCTCTTCGGAAGTTGTGAAATAAAAACTGCAGCTTAATATTGCTTGGCTTAATTATAATTAATTTTTTTCGACTAGCAATTAGAGAAATTTGTTCTTTTGAGCAGCTATTTATAAAAATTCATTTCTCATTACAACTTGAAGACAGCCGATGCTATACTCACTTATTTCGCTGACTGACTCTCGGTAATAAAGTCAGTAATTGGTTCTTTTTTTATAATTCACGCCTGAAAATGGAAGAGGGCGTTCAGGTCGTATGGAAAAATACCACCTGCGGGAAAATTTGAACTAGCTTCGCAATTGAATTTCTTGCAATTTTTTTGGGATTAACTTATTGTTACAAGTTATGCACATTTGGATTTACTAAACTTTTTTCCAATTAATAATTGTAGGTATGGAATAAGAGTGGATCCTCTCCAATGGTTCACATTCCTAAGCGGTACACAAGATGGCGGTGAGGAGTATCCATCAATTTTGTTAATTTGCTGTAAGTCTTACACTTGATTATTTTCCTTCTTCTTTCAATAAATTTTTTATCTATATAGTTAAAACAATGAGAAAAAATTTATATTTGTATAATAAGATGGGTTTACTTGGTTAAATTCAGTATAATTGGGAAGGTCTTGTTTTGTTTTTGTGCCATTTGAATGTTACATATAGTTTTCAGCGATTGTTAATTTATTATGATAGGTTTTTGGAGTAATACTGAATATTTTGAGCTTTTTTACGATTTTCTATATTTTTTGGTAATAGTACATCTTTTATGGTAAGTTTTTTAAGGAGTTTTGGTAGTTTATCGGTTTTATAATGTGATCGCTTTATTGTAGTTACAATTTATTTCCAATGTATCGAAACTACGCATATTGTGATTAAAATATGAACAAATCGCTAAACTAAATTTTTTATTACTCATGATTCATAAGTTTGGGATATATATGGATGATTCTCTGTAAGGACGTCTTAAATCTGTACAAAATTGTCCGAGCAAATTATTTTTGATTTTATTAGAAAAAAAATTAACAAGGGCTACAAAACTATCAGCTTAATTATAATAAACCAACAGCCGAATTAATTTTTGCTTTTTCGATATTTGTGTATATTTTGCCATATAACATGACAGGGGACTAACTGCCAGGGGACTGATTTTTTTTATCCAATTGAGAAAAATCAAGCAAACTATTTCAATGCATTCAACTTTTTAAGTTCTCAATGAATGTTTACATTAATTAGAATAATATTAAGACTTATGGATCAAATTTTATAAATAAATTATAAACAAAAATAGCTGCCAGGGGACTGAGTTTTGAAGTGGCCCAGACACATATTTCCAGCACAAACGGTGCTTTGACACTAAATAAAATGCCGATAAAGCGCTAACAGCCCTATGGTTATTAACTTAAGGCTAGTTATATCCTTATAAACCTTACAAAAGATTAAATAACAAGCTAGACTTTTTTTTTTGGCTTTGAACTTCTGGCAGGGGGCTGATCTTAAAATGCCTGGGATAAACTTTGGTTTAATGAATTTAATGAAACAAATTAACTTTCGGTACTTTTTATTGAAGAAGATTGTTAGTTAACTAATTAAGTTTATAAACATTATGGACCTAATTATATATTATTGACGAATAACTTAAAATTTAATCTTAAAGTTTTAATTTTGGGACTGGGACAGCCCAGGGGACTGACATTTCGGTGATTTACGAATTTATAGCAAAAAAACCAAAATTTATTCCATTTTAGTTTTCAATGCTCCAAATAGAAATGTTTTTTTACTTTCGTAATAAATTTTTTTTAGTAACAAAATAACAATTTTTCTAATAAAAAAATGCCTGGGACAGCAAAAAACATCCTTAGAGAGAATCACCCATATAGTAGCTCCTAGTTGCTATTTGATAATAAAATTGCAATTGAAGATCAGTAACTCATAACCCATGACAAATTTGAGACAATAAAATACAATTCAAAGCCACGTTAATATCTTACACCACGCCACATTAGCACTTCTATCGTTTTCTCACTAAACTAGCACTGACTTTCATTTGTCATTTTCTATTATCTAATAAATAAATTCAATATTTACTCACTTTAAATTTCACTAAACAAACTCATTAAAGTTTCATATTAAAGTTCTAAAACCGTATTCCGCACATTGCTTCTCTTTTTTCTAGCCTGAATTATCTCTCCTTATCTCACTCTATTTATCTATATTCCGGCAGTCGTAGAAAAACCCAAGTATAGGAAAACAAAAAAATTTTACGTGCCATAGTGGTGCCATAAAAAAATTCCAATAACATTTATCGTTATATCGGTTAAAGAGTTTTCGTAACTTCACTTCAGTAAAGTACAAGCGAAGGAACTTAACAAATCGTTTTTAAATTCAAATTATTCTTGACCCCGAGCAAGTATATGAATAAGACAATAAATTTTCGTTAATAATAGCAAATTTTTTGATTGTAGTCATCATCATCAGAATCATGTTTTTCTTTTTTTTATCGGTCAG